GCTCGGCTGGCGGGGACGAGAGATAGGGCCTTCTCGGTGGTGGCTCCTCGGCTGTGGAACGCCCTTCCTACGGACATTAGACTAGCACCATCTCTAATGGTATTCCGCAAAAAGGTGAAGATCTGGATGTTTGTGCAGGCGTTTGAGTAATTTAGTGCAATCTGGTAATGGAACATAGGAATGGAACAATGGACGACGAACCTGGACTACGCTTGGATGATGAGAAGATTGGGTACGGTTGTTTTTTGTAATAATTGTGCATTGTAATTGCTGATTGGTAATTTATGGATAATGTGTTAAGTCAATTGTTATATGTTGTATGGAACCACTGCTGTTTCTACTGTTTTTACTGTTTGTGAACCGCTGTGAGTCGCCTTCGGGCTTGAGATACAGCGGTATAGAAGCAAAGTAAACAAACAAACAAATAAATAAATAAATAATATTATGTGAATCGTGAATGGCATTTAATTTCAAAGTGCACTGAATGCAGGAAAGGAAGGAGGAGGCTTTGGAGAGGGACAACAACAACAACAACAACAACAATAATGGAGAGAAAGTAAGAAAAGGGAGCCAGGCAGCTACGGTGGCCCTGAGAGCTCAAAAAGCGCCTTTTCAGCAGGGAGGGAGGGAGGCCATGGCATTTCCTGCAGCGGAAGCAACGAGAGAGAGGGAAGGGAAGAGGGAGGGAGGGAAACAGGAAGAGGAGGTGGGGGGGGGCTGAAGCAGATGACCCCTGACCCTTGACCCCGCTCACCCTGAGGGCGGAGAGGTCGATGTCGTCGAGGCTGCGGGCGGGGGCCGGGTCGGCCATCCTTCCTTCCTTCTTCCTTCCTCCTTTCCTTCCTTTTCCCTCAAGGCTGCGGCCTAGTCTCTCCCATCCTCTTCCTTCAAACCTTCCTTCCTCTTCGCCTTCTCGCTTCGACTGACTGACTGACTGACAGGGAAGCACTTGCGCCGCACTGCGCCTGCGCAGAACAGCAGGTGGGCGGGGACTCCTCTGCGCATGCGTCGTGGGCTCTCATTAGCGGGCGGGGGAAAAGCGCGCATGCGTGCCAGAGCCCGCTGCACTCTCTGTAGGCGGGGACTCCACTGCGCATGCGTCTTGGGATCTCATTAGCGGGGGGGAAAAGTGCGCATGCGTGCCACAGCTCGCTGCACTCTCGGTAGGCGGGGACTCCACTGCGCATGCGTCGGGGCGCTCATTAGCGGACGGGGAAAAGTGCGCATGCGTGGCAGAGCCCGCTGCACTATCGGTAGGCGTGGACTCTACTACGCATGCGTTATGAACGCTCATCCGCAGACAGAAGGGAGGGAAACGCAAAGAGTGCGCATGTGTGCACGCTCGATGGGCGTGGACTCTACTGCGCATGCGTTGTGGACGCTCATCCGCATACAGAAGGGAGGCGGACGAAAGGAGTGCGCATGCGTGCACTCTCGATGGGCGTGGACTCTGCTGCGCATGCGTTGTGGACACTCATCCGCAGACAGAAGGGAGGGGAACGAAAGGAATGCGCATGCGTGCACTCTCGATGGGCGTGGACTCTATTGCGCATGTGTTGTCCATCCGCAGACAGAAGGGAGGGGAACGAAAGGAGTGCGCATGTGCACTCTCGATGGGCGTGGACTCTACTGCGCATGCGTTGTGGACGCTCATTGGCAGAGAGGGCGGGGGGAAAAGAGACCACGCATGCGTACCACAGATTGACCGCTGAAGCCTCTTCCAGAGAAAGTCCCCGGATGGAGCTAAGGCACGAAGGAGCGAGGCAGAGAAAAGTGGCGCATGCGTACAAAGTAGTTTCCAGGAGGGAAAGCTAAAAGAGGTTCTAGACTGCGCATGCGTGGAAAGGAGACAAAAGTGGCGGAAGTGCTTAAACCAAGCCGATCGGCGGCGCCATGACGAGGCGGGGCTTGTGTTGTGAAAGGGATTGAGTGTGGCGGAAGTAAAGTCACGCCTTCGCAGAGAGGCGTGAGAGGGCGCATGCGCGATTGAGAAAAGGCGGGAAAGCAGGCCTTTTCCCGCCTCTTTCTTCCATCACAATGGAAGGTGGTGAAGATGCCACTCTTGTACCCTTCCCCATATCTTTGCCATACCAATTCAACGGGAAATAATACAAATAAACTAATAATAGTAATAGTAGAATAATAGTAACAGTAATAAAATAATAATAGTAATAGAAATATTTTCTGTATCGGATAACAATGTAAGATGATGCAAGATGTTAAAAATGTTCCTGCTCTCTCTATATTCTTGCACCCTTCCCAGTATCTTTGCAATGCAAATTATATAGGAATTAATCTATATATATATAAATGTTCTGTGCATAATGAGTACCCTAAAAACAAAAGAACCAATGAACGAAAATTTGGCAACAAAACGTCTCACAACACAAGGAGTGACCATCACTCAAAAATTAGATTTTGTAATTTGGGAGTTGTAGTTGCTGGGATTTATAGTTCACTTACAATGAAAGAGCATTCTGAACTCCATCAACGATGGAATTGAACCAAACTTGGCACACAGAACTCCCTTGACCAACAGAAAATACTAGCAGCGTTTGGTGGACATCTATATAAATAAAAACGTAATGTTTGTTTGTCGGATTAACAACATAACTCAAAATCCAGGGGGATGCTGGGAGCTGTAGCCCGGAAGAGAGTGTGGATATGCTATTGTGTGTTTTGTTTGCCAGGGGAGTTTTTTTGCATGTGCACTGTAGTGCCTTTTTGCTTTTTTGGCTTTTTAAGTCCCTTGTGTTGTGTTTTTCAGTGTTCTGTGAGTGATGGTCACTCGTTGGCCAGAGAGGTGTCGTGTGTCCAAATTTGGTGTCCATTTGCCCAGTTGTTTTGGAGTTATGTTAATCCCACAAATGAACGTTACATTTTTATTTATATACTAGCTGTACCATGGCCATGCATTGCTGTGGCCTCAGAAAACAGGAATCCCAGACATGAAACAATCTGGGCTAGGGAACACCTCCCCACAACGGTTTCCTGTAGGCAGAAAGAAGCCAGGCTTTTAAGGTGCATGGCTTTTCAAAAGTTATGACGGTAAGTAATGTATGCATATATGTATGTGTATATATATGTGTGTGTGTGTGTATTTGTATATTTGTGTGTGCTTGTGTATTTGTATATATGTGTATATGTTTATGTGTGTGCATGTGTATATATGTGTATGTATATATGAGTGTATATTTGTGTGTGTGTTTATATGTGCATGTGTTTGTATATGCATGTGTTCATTGTGTGACCGCATTTCTAGGACCTGGTATATAGAGTAAGTCACGTTGGGCTGGTCGTTGCGACCTCCGATGATGGGAGAAGGAGAGGCGGTCCCTAAGGTACGACGGACCCTGGCCGTCAAGAGTTTTCAAGGTCAGAACTGGCATCTTAGACAGGCCACGGTGGTACTCAGTTGGAAGCCAATGCAAATGTCGCAACACTGGTGTTATATGGCTTACTTACTTTTACTTAGGCAATCCCTCGTTGGACGAGTAAGATGGTCTTCCATCATGGGTTTCCCTGTGGGTCCGTATGTGGCTGTGGAGCCCTATTCTTGACCCGCATCTTCTCCCACAGTGAGGGCATTGGTTTCCAGGTGGAAGGCGGTCCCACTCAGGCTTGGCTTGAGGCGCCTTCCTCCTGGCACGTTTCTCTCTTTCACCCTCCACTCGTGCCTCCTCGAATTCTGCAGCACTGCTCATCACAGCTGACCTCCAGCTGGAGCGCTCAAGGGCCAGGGCTTCCCAGTTCTCAGTGTCTAGGCCAGAGTTTTTAAGGTTGGCTTTGAGCCCATCTTTAAATCTCTTTTCCTGCCCATCAACGTTCCGTTTTCCGTTCTTAAGTTCAGAGTAGAGCAACTGCTTTGGGGGACGGTGGTCGGGCATCCGGACAACGTGGCTGGCCCAGTGGAGTTGATGTTGGAGGACCATCGCTTCAATGCTGGTGGTCTTTGTTCTATGGCATTTCATGGGCGTTCTTGTGAGTAGCCTGGCTGCCGCATTCTGAACAATACGGAGCTTTCGGGTCGTAGACATCGGAAGGCCAACATACAGGGCGTTGCAATAGTCCAGCCTGGATGTGACCGTGGCATGGATGACAGTTGCCAGAGCCTCGTCCGACAGGTAGGGAGCGAATTGCCTTGCTTGTCATAGATGGAAAAAGGCCTGTTTGCTGGCAGCAGCGACCTGAGCTTCCATTGTCAGCTGCGAATCCAGGACGACACCTAAGCTCGTAGGCGAAGGAGATAGGGCAGCACCATCGAAGGTGGGTAGCAAATGGGTCAGACCAATCGAGCGGCCGTGCCAGAGAATCTCAGTCTTTGCCGGGTTCACCTTCAGTCTGCTAGCACATAGCCAGTTCGACAGAGCCTCCAGACATAGGGTGAAGTTGTTTGGAATTGACGTTGCTCCAGGCTCCAAGCGCAGAAGGAGTTGGGTGTCGTCCGCATATTGGTAGCAGTCCAGGCCAGAACTCTGGACCAAACTAGCAAGGGGTCTAACGTAGATGTTGAAGAGAAGAGGAAAGAGAATTGCACCTTGGGGGATCTATCGGAGACTTGATCCATGTACTCCATGCGCTGACTCCGGTTTTGGAGAAATGAGTTGAACCAATTAATATAAATGACGCACACGTCCGCAGACAGAGGCCTCTGCAAATGCACTGCCAGGAACAAGAAACTGCACAGCGAAAAAGGCAAACTTGTTTATTGCACTCATCGACAAGCAAGAAGCACCCGGAATATATTGCAGCACAGAAAAGGCACCATGAGGCTTTTAAGGTCCACTCAGGGGAGCCAGGTCCCCAAAAGGAGCAGCAAGGGGTACCGGGACTAAGGCAGAACGTTGACGCCGTCTCGGCCGATCTAAGAGGAAGGAGAACCGGCCCCAACGGAGCCTCGTTGGTCTGGAACATCGGCAAGAAAAGGGACCCTTTAGCACAGGCATGGGCCAACTTGGGCCCTCCCTCCAGGTGTTTTGGACTGCAACTCCCACAATTCCTAACAGCCAGTAGGCTGTTAGGAATTGTGGGAGTTGCAGTCCAAAACACCTGGAGGGAGGGCCCAAGTTGGCCCATGCCTGCTTTAGCACCTTTGAAGCCAATTGAGAGAAAGGGGCTGGTAGAAGATTGCTTTGGAGACTTCAGTGCTTTGAATTGCATGATATGGGTCTGCACTGACGATATAATGCAGTTCAAACTCCTTTCTCTCCATCAGTTTGAAACTGTCCCTTTCTGTGTCGCTCTGCAAAGACAGCATATGGATTTGGAAGGCAAAAATTTGGAAGGCAAAAAGAGGGCAGGAATGGCCCGTGCGCAGAAGAATACCTGCCTCACAAATTTGCTCCAAGGCACTCTGTGGCATGCAATACAGAGACAGAAAAGGAGAATTCATATTCAGAACCCAAAACATACAAATATATAAAAATATTTTTAAAAATAGTGTTTTCAAGCTTCCGCGCATGGAAGCCAGTTTGGAAAGTTCTGTTGAAAGGTGGACAAGGCGTCAAATGTGGTTCTGAAGTTGGGTTGGAATGTGTGGCGGAGGCTTGGCTCTGGAATGTAAACAATGGGAAAAGAAGGAAGGAAGCGGAGTGACCCATTCCAGCCCCTCGGCCCTTCTCCTGCAATCATCTGGAATGTTTTGAAGATAGGGATGGTCCAGATGGCACACCTCCGGTCCTGGTCCAGGTGTGCGCAATGCTGGTGTGAATGGAGCAAGCCTGTCCTCGCCCTGGAACAGGGGAGAGATGGACACAACCCTCCAGCCCCGCTTTCTTCAGAGCGAACGTCAACCCAACGGAGCAGCGCCTCCACGGCAGGGTCCCTGTCGTCCCGCAGTGGCCTCAGGTCCAGACCTCGACGGGGACCATGCCCTCTTTGCTGCTGAGGGGCGGGAGGAGGGACTCCTCGGCCAGGAAGCCCAGCGGGAAGCGCACCAGGTGGCCCTGGACCTTCTGCAGCTCCTCCCGAGCCACGATGGGACTGACCGAGGCCAGGCTGTCCACCCCCACGTACTCCCGCAGGACACGCTGGGACGGGACCGAGTCCGTGGGCAGGCAGCGGAAGACCTGTTTCGCCACAAGGAAGGAGGGAGGGAGGAAGGGGATAGAGGAAGGAAGGAAGGACAGGTGGAGGATGCAGATGGAGAGAGGAAGGAAGGGATGGAGAAGAAAGAATGAGGGACAGAAGGCAAATGGAAAGGGGAAGGAAGGAAGGGGGACAGAGGAAGAGTGAGGGAGAGAGGAAAGAAGAAAGGGGTGGAGAGGAAGGAAGGAAAGAAATAAAGGGAAGGAAGGGGGAAGTAGAAAGGAAAGGAGGGAGGGAATTGAGAGAGGGAGGAAGAGAGGGAGGGAGGGGTGGAGAGAGGAAAGAATGAAGGACCAAAGGAGGGATGGAGAAAGGAAGGGGATAGAGAGGGGAATGAAGGAAGGAAAGGAGGGATGAAGAGAAGCAGGAAGGAAAGGGGATAAACGAAGGAAGGTAGGTGGATAGGGAGATAGGGTGATGGAGAGAGGAAGGAAGGTAGGAAGGAAGGGGATGAAGAGAAGAAGGGATGGAAGAGGGAGGGAGGATTGGGGTGGAGAAAGGAAGGAAGAGGGATAGAGTGAGGAAAGAAGGGGATGGGGGGAGGAAAGACGGAAGAAAGGGAAATGGAGGGAGGAAGAAGGAAAAGGGGAAGGGCAGAGGAAGGGGATGGAACAAGGGAGGAAGCAAGGAAAGAAGGTGGAGAGAAGGCAGAAGGAAGGAGAATGGAGAGAGGAAGGAAGGAAAGAAAGGGATGTAGAAAGGAAGAGAAGGGGGAGAAGGAGGGAAAGAAGGAAGGATGAGGAGTAAAGAAGGAGGCTTATCACTAACGTGTAAAGACGTAAATCGAGGAAGTGAGGGATTGAGAGAGCGGAATAAATACAGTACCATATACTCAATGTACAGAAGGTAGGTAGGAAGGAAGGGGATGGAGAGAAGAAGGAAGGGAGGATGGAAGAGAGGGAGGATTGGGGATGGAGAGGAAGGAAGGACAAGCGATAGAGAGGAAGAAAGGGGATGGGGAAAGGAAAGCAAGAAGAAAGAAAGGAAAATTGAGAGAGGAAGGAAGAAAATGAAGGAATGAGGATGGAGAGAAGAAAGAAGGAAGGGGGAAGGACAGAGGAAGGGAGGAAGGAAAGAAGGGGGTGGAGAGAAGGCAGAAGAGAGGAAGAAAAGAAGGAAGGAGGATGGAGAGAGGGTGAAGGAAGGGGGATAAAGGAAGGAAGGAAAGAAGGAATGGGATAGAGGGAGGGAGGAAGGAAGGAAAATGGGAGAGAGGAAGGATGGAAGAGAAGGAAAGGGGGGTAGAGAGAGAAAAAGCCGTGGCACAGTTAGATATCCTTGTTCTTTGAGACAGGAAGTGTGTGAGAGAGAGACTTCATTACTACATCTCCAAAGCTAACCTTGAGCTTAGATAGGGGAAGACCTGTTCTTTCTAACCATAGCGACTCAAGGTTAGGGTAGAGTGTCCCAGGATTTTCTACCATTGGGGGGAAGTTAACTTAGCAGCTGGAGGGAAAGGAAAGGAAAGAACATCTCCATGGTTTCACAAATTGACTGTTTTGTTTGTAACTTCAACAAGCTGTGCCAAGTCTGCCAAAGACTTTGAGAAATAAATATTCTGTTTGATGTTCAAAACCTGGACTGGCCTCCGTTGCTGAAAATCTTGAGCTTCTAAGAAAGACACCAGCGGATCACCCAGATAAAGAGAGAAGCACATCTTAGTTTTAATTTTATAGTGTCTGGGTGCGACGGCACAATTATTATTACTATTATTATTGCTTATGTTTATTTGTTTCCAAGGGCCTTAACACACGCTGCACTCTCTCTGTTTACATCCGATTCCCCCAGGAGGCATCAAGGAGTCCCGATCGTGCAAAGGGATGAATGCATGCCTGATAAATCTAGCAAGCCTGGAGTCCCCTCCCCACACTACGATTATATTATTGTTGTTGTTGTTTGTGTTTATTTATTTGTTTCCGAGGGCCTTAACACACGCTGCACTCCCTCTGTTTAGATCCGATTCCCCTAGAAGCTTTCAAAGAGTCCTGATCCCTCAAAGAGATGAATGCATGCCTGATAAATCTAACAAGCCTGGAGTTCAGACGCAAAGCAATGAGCCTTTTGGGGTGAAGCCCTATCCCCGCCCCCCCCAATATGGATCTCCTCCACCTCCCTACTCAGCCTTCCAATGGCAACGGCACCCACCTTGTCGTAGACGTCGGTGTTGGAGGAGGCCCGCTTTTGCCAGACTTCGTGGAAGAAGTGGTCGCTGACCGGGTCCTGAATCTCGGCGTCACGCTCGCTGGACGCACCCAAAACGCACCTTCCAGGGATGAGCAAGAGATAAACAGTGAGTCATTCACAGGGCTTGGAAGGGGCTGAAGAGAGGACTAAGAGGGCCTGGAAGTGGAAGTCTACCAGCTGAGAGCCGAGAGATCAGATAAGGGCATAATGTAGACCATGCATGGGCCAACTTCGGCCTTCCCTCCATGTGTTTTGGACTTCAACTCCCACAATTCCTAACAGCCGGTAGGCTGTTAGGAATTGTGGGAGTTGGAGTCCAAAACACATGGAGGGAAGGCCAAAGTTGGACCATACCTGGTCTAGACACTGATCTCCTTTTGATGCAGCCCAAAATCCCATTGGACTTTTCAGCTGTGGCGTCACACTCCTGGCTCATGTTCAGCTTGTTCTCCATGAAGATGCCCAACGTCTTTCTCGCATGGACTGTTGTCACATGTACACAGTGGGATTTTGGGAAGCTCAGCACTCTCCGAACTCACTTGAAGCAGTCCAGGCGCAAGCTGAGCGCGAACCTCCCCGCCTGGAAAGCTTGACCATCCATGATGGAAGCCACAAACTCCGTATCCTCCACCACAACGGCCAGTTCGCTGTCCCGTTTCCCCAGGAGGCTCCGGTCGTTGATGTTGGCCGACCCTGAGGGCAAAGAGAGCAAAGTGGGTGTTGCACCTCGGAGCAGGTACACCTCTGACTTTAAACCCCACACCAGTTGAGTAAAATCAGCAAGCAGTTGATTGAAGATTATATGAAAGCAAAGCAATACAAATGATGAAATCAATATGGTCCCAAATGGTATTTTCAAAAGGAAACAAATAGCCCATGAACTTCAAGGTACAAAGGTAAAAACATAAGATCCAAGGTTGCAAAATTCCAAGAGAAGAAGACAGCATAGAGATCCAATACCCAGAAAAGGAACTTGGCAAATACTGGAAACATGAGACTAGAAATCTACTTGGAAACAAGACCACATTGACTGGACTTAGCTAATATGTTTTCCTCGTCTCATATAAAGCCTTTCTTGTCTCATGAAACGAAAGAAAAACATTATGTTTGCCTTTAGAACCAGATTAGGATTTCTTCTCGCTTTTTTCCACTAGACGGGCTGACCTTGCGTGAGTCTGAGAACTTTCCCTTAATTTACAATAGCCTTGTTTCCAATCTTCAATCTCATTAACTTCTGCACCTGACAAATCATCCTCAGAAGACAAATGCTGCTGTACGCCTCTTTCAGGAATTTGACCTTGAGACCCTACAGGAGAACTACTACTCAGTTGAAGAGAAACCTCAGACCTCTCAGCAAGGCTAAAATCAGACCTTTCAGTAAGGCCAGGAAACCCATCATCCCCATTGACACTGTTGCATTCCAGGCCAGGAAAAAGCCCTCTGACTTAAAACACCACACAGCTGAGTAAAAATGGCTGGCTGCCAGTCCATCTCCGAGCCCAATTCAAAGTGCTGGTTGTGACCTATAAAGCTCTATACGGTTCTGGCCCAGCTTACTTGTCTAAACGCATCCACCCCTACATCCCACCTCGTAATCTAAGATAATCCGGGGAAGCCCTGCTCTCGCTCCCATCAATTGCGCAAATGCGTCTGGTGGGGATGAGAGACGGGGCCTTCTCAGCGGTGGCCCCTCACCTATGGAACACACTCCCAAATGAGGTAAGATCTGCTCCCTCCCTCCCTCCTGCTTTTTAGAAAGAAATTAAAATCATGGCTTTGGGACCAGACCTTCGGATAGTAGGTATTTGTAGAGTTTAAAGGACATGGACTAGAATGACAATACTAGTGTATTGAATATAGAAACATGGAACAACGGATTGTGAGATTAGATCTTGAGATGCTAAAGAGATGTTATAGTTATGTTTAATATATTGTTTAATATATCATTGTTTTTAACTCTTTTTATGATGTTGAGCATTGAATTTTGCTATTGTTAACCGCTTTGAGTCGCCCAAGGGCTGAGAAAAGCGGTATATAAATGAAATAAATAAATAAATAAATAAATAAATAAATAAATAACATGCAAGCAGTTTATTGTAGGTAATTTTAAAAGCGTTAGCAGTGAAACACTCCAAAGAAACAGGTAAATCCAAGTAGGTAGAAAGATAAGCAGTACCAAATAATCCAGGAAATAAATCCATCCAAAGCAAGGTTCTTGTGGGTTTTTTGGGCTATAGGGCCATGTTCTAGAGGCGTTTTGCCTGACGTCAGGAGAAATGCCTCTAGAACATGGCCCTATAGCCCGAAAAAACCCACAAGAATCTAGTGATTCCAGCCATGAAAGCCTTCGACAATCCATCCAAAGCACATGCAAAAACCCAAAACAGAAACTTCCAAGAAACTTCCAAGTAAAACTCCAAATCATGAAATCAAACAAGGTATAACTTGAATCTTTCCAAGGCAAGATTGCAAGATTCGTCACTATGTCTTGATCCAGTTCCAAATGTTGCTTCATCTGACCACAGATTCTGCACTTGGTACTTTTATCCCCTAATCTACTCCAAATCCCTGCCAGAAACTTGTTTCAATTCAGCCTAGACTCTGTTATCAGTTTTTCTCTCAACCTGGCAGAGCGCCGGAGAGATTGTTGAACACTCCTGTTCTTTCTCAAAGCAAGCCGTCTATCTTCTGGTTCATTAATTTCCGCAGCTGTTTTCTCAGGCTCAAAGGCCTGGGAATTTTCTGGTGGCAATTCAGGCCCTTTTCCAGAGACCACCCCATCATCTCCCAACTCTTCAGAAACATCCTCATCAGCAAAGACAGCAAAGAACAGGAATCCCATTGTCATTCTCTGCATCTAAAACACCCTCATCATTAGAAACAGCATTGTCATTCCCAACATTCGGAGAGCCCTGATCATTAGACACAATCACAGGCTGAACTACAACAGCGGGGAGCAGATGGGGCCACATGAAACTAGAAATCCACTTGGAAACGAGACTGTCATTAAAATCCAGTGTTGAGCTAATATCTTTTCCTCATCTCATATAAAGCCTTTCTTGTCTCATGAAACAAAAGAAAAACATTCCGTTTGCCTTTAGAACCAGATTAGGATTTCTTCTTGCTTTTTTCCACTAGACGGGCTGACCTTGCGCGAGCCTGAGAACTTTCCCTTAATTTACAAAAGTCTTGTTTCCAATCTTCAATCTCATAAACTTCTGCACCTGACAAATCATCCTCAGAAGACGGATTCTCAGGGCCTCTTTCAGGAATTTGACCTTGAGGAATCTACAGGAGAAGCACTACTCCATTCAAGAGAAACCTTGGGCCTCTCAGCAAGGCCAGAATCAGGCCTTTCAGCACGGCCAGGAAACCCATCATCCCCATTGACATCAGGCACAATCACAGGCTGAAGTACAACAGCAGTCGGGGCCACCCAAGGCTGGAGCAAAGAAGTGTTTGTGGGTAAAGGCACCCATTATTTGGGGGGCGGGGGTCCATGCCAAAAAGGGAGCCCCTGGTAGCGCAGTGGGTTCAAGCACTGAGCTGCTGAACTTGCTGACCGAAAGGTTGCAGGTTTGAATCCGGGGAGCAGTGTAAGCTTCCACTGTCAGCCCTAGCTCCTGCCAACATAGCAATTTGCAAATGTGAGTAAAGCAATAGGTACCGCTCTGGCAGGAAGGTAACGGCACTCCTTGCAGTCCTGCCCATGTGGAGGGGACAATAAGCCATATTAGGGGCTTCTGGGATGCTTCAGGAATATAGGCTGCATGCATATCATATTGGGAACATTGCAAGGTGCCTGGGGCAGTGCCGTACTTGGTCTCTTGTGATAAACAGGAGGATTGACCAAGGCACCCTTGCTCCATGAATGCTACTGCTTGACCACAAGGTACATGATTGCCCCATGGTTGCCTGGAACAGGCTGACCACCAGAGAACATAGTTACCCCATAGTTCCTTGGAACAACAGGTAACCACAGGTACAAGGTTACTACATATTTACTGGTAGCTGACCACAGGGTTGACCACAAGGGTACAAGGTGCGTGTTATGTTACTGAAGGTGTGTTATTCTGGGAAGAGGAGGAGTTTGGGGTGGTCCAATGCACATATGCCCAAATAAGGCTGAAAAGAGAAGTTACCACCACGCGAGGAAAGTCTAAATAAGGCAAAGAGGGGTAGTTGGACCACCGCCCTCCTGAGAGTATATAAACTCAATGGTTGTCCCAGTTGGGGCGGCAGCTTGGTACCAGCATACTGCGTGTTATGCTGTCTGTCCGCCTTTCTGTTGCGCAATATGAAATAAACCTGTGTTTTGCTCTAACTCTTTGGACTCCTGCTTTGGATCCATAGTCAACTGGCAAGATCCCAGAGGATAAGATTGTAGGGACGGCGTGTTTCCCTTACACATGGCCACATGACCTTGGAGGTGTCTATGGACAACACCGGCTCTTCAGCTTAGAAATGGAGATGAGCACCAGAGTCCTGGAGTCGGACATGACTGATACTTAAGGTCAGGAGAAAACCTTTACCTTTACTGATGCCCAAGAGGAAAGTGGACTCACCGATGATGACCAGCCGGTCGTCCGCGATGAGCATCTTGCTGTGGATGTAGACCAGCTCCGTGAGGATCCGTCCCCGCAGCTCTCCGTGGGTCCGCAGCCCGCAGAAGGAGAGGTAGTTCTTCCATTCTTCCCCCACTTTGGGCACAAAAAGGAAAGAGAAGAGGGTCTTCCTCTCCCACCTGGAAACCCCCTTCCGATGCGGCGGAGAGTGGTGCCTCTGGGCATGTGCAGAGCGCACTTCCACCTCGGAAATGCACCTTTCCTCCCTTGTGGGATCAAAGTACCTTATTGTAGAGAAAGAGGCACTTACTGACTGAGCTGAGTCGAGCAATGATGGAGGCCTCGCCACGGCAAATAGTCCTGCGCAAGAGAGGGACGAGCAGAGGTCACCTCCAAGTTTCCCCCTTATCCTTGCACCACTGCTTCGTGCACAAGCGTGGACACACGTGCAAGGGCGTTCCGCCCCCTGGTCAGACTCACCGGTAGGTGAAGTGCAGAATGGCTTGGATGGAGTTGCCTCCGCCCTGAGCAATGTCCCCTTCGAAGCCGGGCAAAAGCGGGAGAAGCACAAAGACCCGGAAGGGCTTCTTCTCACTAGAAAAGGAGGAGGAGGAGGAGGAGGAGGAGGCATCGCACGAGGGCACGCTCGCACGCCTGCTCCCGGGCTCTCCATGGCACTATTTCCTAATGGGTTCTGTTTATTTATTTGTTTATCTATCATAAAGTGCATAAAGTAGTTAGTAGCCAACTGCATTAAATCACTACTGACGGAGAGATCATGAGTTCAAAGCCAGCCCAGGTCAGAGTGAGCTCCCGACCATTAATAGTCTAGCTTGCTGTTGACCTATGCATCCCAAAAGACAGTTGCATAAGTGAGACTCTACTGAATATTCCTTGTTAAAAGCTTTGACAGGGCAAAGAATCTCCCAGTGTAGGGTGGGGAAGTTTTTTATTTCAAATGAAAACTGAATATGCATATGTTTGCATATGTTATGCATATGCATATGTTTCACACTGAATATGCATATGTTTGAATGCTGTTTATATTCTGTTTTAAAGTTTGTATATTTGTGAATTTTAAATTGCGTACTTATGCTTTTATGTTAAGCCACTTTGAGTCTCCTTTGGGGAAATAAAGCAGGGTATAAATAATAATACAAATAATATATAATAAAATAATAATAATAATAATACAAATAACAATATATAATAATATATAAGATAATAATAATATATTTTAAATTGCATACTAATGCTTTTATGTTAAGCCACTTTGAGTCTCCTTTGGAGAGATAAGGAAGGGTATAAATAATAATAATACTAATAATATATAATAATAATACTAATAATATATAATATAATAGTAGAAAATAATAATATATTTTAAATTGCATATTAATGCTTTTATGTTAAACCACTTTGAGTCTCCTTTGGAGAGATAAGGAAAGGTATAAATAATAATAATAGTAATAATATATAATACAAATAATA